CCTTGACATCAGTGGCCCCCTCAACCCTTGACATCGAGTGGCCCCTTAACCATTGACATCTAGTGGCCCCTTAACCACTGACATCAGTGGCCCCCTCAACCCTTGACATCGAGTGGCCCCCTTAACCCTTGACATCGAGTGGCTCCCTCAACCCTTGACATCGAGTGGCCCCCTTAACCATTGACATCTAGTGGCCCACTTAACCCTTGACATCGAGTGGCCCACTTACTGTAAAAATAAAAAAAAATAAAAATAAAAAAAATGACAGAATAAACGGATGTGGACTGCGCAGAAAACACACATTGATTTCTTTGCCATGAAGTCTGCTTTTTTTTTTACACCGGTCTTTACTATGTGTATTTATATCTGAAGAAAGAAAATAACAGACATTGTTTCTAAACTCTTTCCAACACATTTAAACCCGTATTCATTCAACAATCTCAGTAAATATCGAATTGCTTTGACTCGATGTCAAAAGAGTCTCAATATAATTTTGTTTGATATTTGGGAGGAGGAATTGCTAATATAATTTGAATTACTTCTATTATATCGATTTCTATCACATGTAGTTCTAATAATTACACCTAACGTTTCAAACATACACACTAGCCATTGTCAGGTGTCCCCTATTTTGGGCTTAATGTTGAGTGTTGTGTTATTTACATCAATGTGATACCGTTTCTTCAACATTCCTACTGAAACGGGGTATAATCTAATAAAAAAAAGTAAGTGCTAGTCAATGATTAATAATAATGGCTGACAATGTTTCATCTAATAAAAAATGAAGATGAAAGTAAATATTAGTCAAAAATTAATAATAATGGTTGACAATGCTTCATCTAATCAAAAATGAAAATGAAAGTAAATCCTAGTCAAAATAAATAATAATGGCTGACAATGTTTCATCTAATAAAAAATAAAGTTGAAAGTAAATGCTAGTCAAAAATGAATAATAATGCTTGACAATGCTTCATCTAATAAAAAATGAAGATGAAAGTAAATATTAGTAAAAATTAATAATAATGGCTGACAATGCTTCATTTAATAAAAAAATGAAGATGAAAGTAAATATTAGTCAAAAATAAATAATAATGGCTGACAATACTTCATCTAATAAAAAATGAAGATAAAAGTAGATTCTAGTCAAAAACGAATAATAATGGTTGACAATACCTCATCTAATAAAAATGAAGATGAAAGTAAATACTAGTAAAAATAAATAATAATGGCTGACAATGCTTCATCTAATAAGAAATGAAGATAAAAGTAAATACTAGTCAGTATTTATAATAATGGCTGACAATACATCATCAAATAAAAAAAACTGATGATGAAAGTAAATCCTAGTCGAAAATGAATAATAATGGCTGACAATGCTTCATGTAATAAAAAGAGGAAAACACATCTATTAAATTATGGTGTGTGAATTTTATTTGATTCAGTTTCCCTAGAAAATTTCACGATGAAAAGATACGTCTACTTTATCGTTTGTGTATAATCCTGGAGAATATATGTGGTATAGATGGGGTTAATCTGAGCAGATAGCTCACAAAATGAATTCAAATTTGAGAAACGTGTTAACATTTAATGATAAATTCAATCACGAAATGTGTAAGCAATTAAATACAATTGTCAAACAAACGAATAAACAAAATTCGTTAGGATTTCAGATGCCAAAACAAGAAAACAGAATAATAACTATATGAAATAAACTTGGCTAATATGACCGAAATATTAAAAACATGTCTGCTTAACGTTACTCTCACTGTTTTCCATTTGCAAACACGACAATTGAATTTAAATTTAAATTCACTGAAGCCTTAAGAAGAATCTGTTGGAATGAAAACACTTTCCCTTCACCCATTTCGTTTATTTCCGCGAATCAGTCTAACGAGGATACGGATTTATGTTGCGCGCATTGTCTTGGCCTTTCGAAAGATGCGAAACAAAAGTTAGCAAAATGCGTATTGGTTTATGCGGACAACACAACAAGGCTTTCTTTTGTTTCCTCTCGCTTTCTCTATGTAAATAAATGTATGGAGAAATTAAACAAAATGTAACCCCCCCCAAAACAAACAAACAAAAAATCCGAAAAACTCAGTGACGCCTTCGCGCGTAAATTGGTCATACGACCGAAAAGCTTGCGCCATGTTTATGAGGCAGTACGTCAAGCGAAGTAAAAAAAATAACAAAAAAATAAAATGAAAAAAAAAAAACAAACTAAAAATTCGTTCTAAAATTAATATCAAATCAATGATTAATTCAATCAGTTATTCAATAATTATTCTATCATTCCTGATTTCATTCGATTATTTTTGAATAAACACTTTTTTTTCCTTTAAACACATTACTTGATTATTTTTCTGCATTTGACGTTCCTTCATTGTTCAGTCGTTATTCTGAAAAAGATGCGAGGTTACCGTAACGGTTATCGACGCAGAAAATGGTATCAGCGAGCGGATTTCAAATCCTGACCAAATTTGTTTCGTTCACTTCGCACTAATACACTTGGAAAAGGCATGAATCCGACTTCATCCAGCTATAGCTTAAACAACAGGGCAAACTAGTTTTTCTTGTCTCGCATGGAAGCCAGTCTATCAGAAGGTAAACTTTGAATTCAAAACTATCCCGAAGAGAGATGGGTTCTGTCGGGTTACCTTGCCAAAGACGCATATACTGCTGCTACGGTTGGTGTATAGGTAGGGTGCCCCAACGACTTTTATGCGTGTCGTGAGCATCATTATGAAATATTGTTATTTCATGGTATTTTTTCTATTCCATGTCGACATAATTTTTTATAATTTATTACAATAAAACAATATCTGTCTATATTTCTGAGATGAGGTATTATGTACACTATTTACATTGTTCGGACTATTGTCCTCATCTTTGCTGTCATATTTATCACAACGTTTCGACCGTTGTACAGGTGGTTGGAATGTCGAACTGAACCCTTTATTTCGCTCGCTGGTGTAGATTGTTCTAGTTCCACGTACCATGTCTAATGGATGTTAATTATCCCCTGTTAATTCACCTCTCTAAGTTCCTCACCGCCTTAACTAGGTATTGAACTCACACTGTTACTGGATCTAACCAGTTAAGGCGTTTTCCGCTGAAAAGGCGTTGGTTAGATCCAGTGACAGTGTGAGTTAAATATATGGTTAAGGCAGTGGGGAACTTAGGTGAATTAACAGGGGATAATGAACATCCATTAGACATGGCACGTGGAACTAGAACAGTCTACACCAGCGAGCGAAATAAAGGGTTCAGTTCGACATTCCAACAACGTGAAGAAGGCTGGAGCGTAGAATGGTCGAAACGTTGTGATAAATATGTCGTCAAAGATAAGGACAATAGTCTGAATAATGTAAATAGTTTACATAATGCCTCATCTCAGAAATATAGACAGATACTGAAGGGCCGAAACGTTGTAATAAATATGGCGATAAAGATGAGGACAATAGTCCGAATAATGTAAATAGTGTACATAATACCTCATCTCAGAAATATAGACAGATACTGAACGGCCGAAACGTTGTAATAAATATGGCGACAAAGATGAGGACAATAGTCCGAATAATGTAAATAGTGTACATAATACCTAATCTCAGAAATATAGACAGATAATGAAAGGCCGAAACCTTGTAATAAATATGGCGATAAAGATGAGGACAATAGTCCGAATAATGTAAATAGTGTACATAATACCTAATCTCAGAAATATAGACAGATAATGAAAGGCCGAAACCTTGTAATAAATATGGCGATAAAGATGAGGACAATAGTCTGAATAATGTAAATAGTTCACATAATACCTAATCTCAGAAATATAGACAGATAATGAAAGGCCGAAACGTTGTAATAAATATGGCGATAAAGATGAGGACAATAGTCCGAATAATGTAAATAGTGTACATAATACCTAATCTCAAAAATATAGACAGATAATGAAAGGCCGAAACGTTGTAATAAATATGGCGACAAAGATGAGGACAATAGTCCGAATAATGTAAATAGTGTACATAATACCTAATCTCAGAAATATAGACAGATACTGAAAGGCCGAAACGTTGTAATAAACATGGCGATAAAGATGAGGACAATAGTCCGAATAATGTAAATAGTGTACATAATACCTAATCTCAGAAATATAGACAGATACTGAAGGGCCA